AGGAGCGACTGAAGGCTCTGGAGAGGAGTCTAGCTGACGTTCAGGTCACCGGGAAGGGAGATGACGGCTCAGGTACCACTCCACACGCGATTTTATAGTAGGGCTGCAACGATTAGTCGACAATAAAAAATTGTCGACAAATATCTTTGTTGTCGAGTAGTCGTTTGATCTCACGTGACCTAATGTAAGGGCGTGCAATATCGCGATTTGACCGCTTTGGCGCTAGAGTGTAATGCAGCCCTTTATAAATGCAAGTGCGGTAAAAGAAAAAAACAGCGCGAATTATGGCGGAGTGCAAACGAATCCGAACTAGCAAGGTTTTACAAAACTTAAAACCAACAATGCTGTCATGTGCAATACATGCAAGGCAGACTGTAGTGGTAACGCATCTCTTTATTAGGTCATGCAATACTATTAATAGTAATAATATCATCAATAATAATATAATTACAGTAATGTGATGATTTATTTAGCATAGATAAAGCTTGATTGAGCTTAGGAGTCAGGGCTGTTTTTATTATTGTAACACTATTTGGTATTATAGACTTATTTGCCTGTATTTTGTTCCATAATCATGAAGACTTACAAAAGGAGATGTTAGGAATAATATCATGGCAGTTACTTTTTCTTTTTTTATTCTGTAAATTAAAAGGTGAATGAGAACATCTCTGTCAACTCAATTCTCATGTAAAAAAACTATTGTACTTTTATATCTATAATAATGGTTTGCAGATTCATATTTTACCCTTTTTGTGTCCTGAAGTAATGACTTTTTTTCTGTTTCAGTTCTATGTAAAGCAGTGGGCTTATTAAACAATGCCTAGAGAGCATTTGTGTGTGATTTGAGTTAAACTTAAAGAGAATGACCTGTTTAGTTGGCTCTAAGTTCATGAAAACCTCTATTTCAAAAGCTGAACTGATTTTTTTATATTATAGTAAGAATATGTATAACTCAATGTTTTAAGTAACTAATTGAAAAAGCTAAATAATCGATTAGCCGGCAAAATAATCGACGATTAGTCGATTAATCGTTAGATTAATCGATTATCAAAATAATCGTTTGTTGCAGCCCTATTTTATAGTTAGTTAGTTAAAATGTTTCTATTAAATCAATAAATATCAAAGTTAAATGTAAAATTAAATTCAGTAAGACAATAGATTTTGTTTAATCTACATGACCGGTTTGCATGTGTGTTTTACATCCCAACCAGATGATTCTGCCTTAAAAATATTGCGGGAGGGGAAGGAGGATGCTGAGCATCAGGTATGCAGACTGGACCTTTTCCCATCACACATAAAAGCCATCGTTATATTGACATACTGCTCTTTTGACCCTCTGACCTACAAAAGTGAGCATTGTTTAGGCAAACAATTAAAAAAAATTGTTCAATTCCTAGAAGTTAGTAATAATAAAGTTTTTAGTTTGTAGGCATTTCACACACTTTTTACATTAACCATAAATAATACAGGTAATACAGTAATAATACTCCCTACGCAGTTTAGAGTAATTTCCAGGTCTGAAAAAAACTATGGAAAATTAAAACTGAATGGATAAATAATTGTTTCCAGACTATTTCCCATATTAATTTTTCTGAAATATAAAATTAAGGGAAAAAAAGAAATCATACAAGCTGAGTGATTTCATAGCAAAACTTTAGTGGTAGTGATTGTCAAACACGACTTTCACCAGTTTTCATCTTGTCAAAATCTTGTTGTTTGTTTGGCATTTTAACTTTTTGACTCTCAAAAGGATTTGACAGTCTGATGTTAAATTTTTTTCATGCTTAGTAAAAAAAATAATCCATAAAAGTAAAAAAAAAACAAGCAAAAAAAACATTTTAGTCATTTAGGGATATCTAAAAAATCTAATTTTAACAAGATGGCATTGCAATGTTGCATATCAGCAATGGTATCAGAATAAATGCCATAATATAATCTCTAAAAGCAACTTCTCTGGGTTTATTGAATGCTAATTGACTTTGCTGATTTCTTTGGGAAAGGTTGAGTTCCTGAACACGGTTATTGTGGATCTGCAGCGGAAGAACGAAGACCTAAAGTCTAAACTAGAGAAGATGGCAGAAGCAGCGCTCAACGGCAACGGTGCAACTGAAATGGACACTCACAACAGGTGCTTTTTATTCCTTTAAATCCCAGCATACAATCCCAAGAACTCGCTCATTTAATCTTCAAACATAACAAACGTTTCAGTTAACTTAATTACTATGATTACTGGTTTTATATCAGTTGACTAACACATAAAGATGTTGTAGTTCTTCAAACAAAAAGTCATTGTGTGAACTTACATGTGACGTATTCTTAAATGCAAAGAGTGTTACTTCAAGGTTTATTCCTTAATTCTCATATATTGATTATTTAAAGGAGAACTCCGACGCATAATGAACCTTTGGTCTAAAAAAAAAACAATTCAGTACTTCACAGTTCACATTTTTTGTAATATGTTTTAGCAATACATTTATAATTTTTTTTTATTATAGAATTGCGTTTAACACAAATATATGGGATATAAAAGCTGTTATTAAATATGAGCTTTGTCTTTTCTACCTAGTCATGCTGAGACGGCGATTAAAAAGAAACCCCCTCCCCGTCTCTTCTGTGACATATGCGACTGCTTCGACCAACACGACACCGAAGACTGTCCCACGCAGGACCAGATGCTAGATTCCCCCCCGCACACCACCTACCACGGCAGTCCCAGCGATGAACGACCTTACTGCGACATCTGCGAGGTCTTCGGCCACTGGACAGAGTCCTGCAACGACGATCAAACGTTCTAGGGTTTTGCTACCATGATTATACTTGCAATACTATGCCTTGAATCAAACAGTGCACAAAAGACTATTGTGAGTTTGTGTGGTTTTTCACTTGTGTGTTTGCCACCATATAAGCCTAAACCTTTCAGTCACTTTAAAGCAAGCATCAGTAGTTTACTCGGTGGCGATTTTACCTGCCTTTATTGCACTGAATGACTGTTCGGAGGAAAGAGTACCTTGAATGCTCATTGTTTTTATGGTTAACCAGGAAATGCGACTCTCCTTAAAGGTCTTTGGGTTCAGGTGTTCGAACTTCAGTGCTGACCTCTAGTGGAAGGGAGGCTTGACTTCTCAACAGCCTTTCACACGTCACAGAGTTTGGATACTGTAAGAGAAGTAATAATATAAAGAGTAAATTATTCTAGGATTGTGAAAATTTCATTATTTCTCAACAAAACAAAACGAGTAAATGTGTCTGTTTCAATGACTTATCTTTCAGGATGACTGTAAGGAAAGCGTTTGCCCAAAAACAATTGTGGAAAAAGAACAAAAAACAATTAACCATCATCTTACTGTTTTTGTTACTTTATTATAAGTTGCGGAGTGTATGAAGGGGGGACTGATTTCAGTAAAGTCAGCATGTTTCGCTGGTTATTTGTGAGACATTTATTTGTTTAAATGTCAAATGAGGAAAATCTTATGGAATGAAACTTCATAAAATATATTTTAAGTGCAAAACAAATCTTTGTCGTGTTATATGTTAATTCTAATGTGCTGCTCTAAAAAATATGTGTATGTCTCTGAAGAATTTCCTGAACCGTCTGTAAAAAAAAGTAGGGCTATTTGGCTCTTCTCAAAGCCAGACATGTTTTTCATAATGAAACTGCCTGATAAACGAAGCAGTGAGTCACAATAAACATCGTTTTCAAATAAAATTGTCTGATGTTGTCAATCTTTAGAGTGAGCTGTTTCCCCCCAAAAAAATTCTGGCCACGCCGTAAAGATCAAGGAACCCTTTATCACACTCAACTATAACTTTAGCATTATTATATAAAGCATTATTTTACTATATCATTTGCCAACATATTTATGTGACTAATGTTACTATATATATTAAAAGCTGTTCTTTACAAAGAACAAAACCATGAGATTAATGTATTACATTTTCTGTTTATAGTTTTAAATGAAATTTGACATTCAAAATGATGGCGGTCAGAATTCATTCCATACATCTTTGTTTAAAGATTTGATTTTTTTTCCTTGTCATAGAACAGTCATTGACACTATATATGGAAGCTTGTTTCCCCACAGAATAAATAAAAGATAATTCTGACTTTTTTTTCCTCAGAATTGTGAGATGTGAAGTCCAATTCTGAGGGGGAAAAACTTAGAATTTCCCCTCACAGAATTTTAGCCTTTATCTTACAAATTTGACTTTAACTCTCAATTGCAACTTTATATCAGACAATCGGACTTTAACTCATAATAGAGCATCATATAGTCCCGCCCACAGCCCATTCGTTTCTCCATTGACATTTTGTAAAATCCATATCTAAAGAGTATTAGAGCATGTCTGAGGATAACCAGCTACGGCTGAACTCATAAGCATACAACATATCATTTCGAGTGAAAAAACGAAGAGAAAGTAAAAAAAGTCAAGGATACAACAAGCCTGTGTCCATATTTTCATTTCCGAGCAAAGGAACTACTCCTCCCATAAACCACCGCGCCTCACTAAAGTCGACTGAAGCCACCGATTTTTTTTTTAATGCTTTATTGTGAACAAGTAGCATGTACAGTGTAATTTCTCATACAACACATAATTCACATGCCTCAACAAGAACAAAAAATAAATAAAATAAAAATAAAATAATAATTAAAATAAAATAAAAAGAATGAGAGGGTACATAAATATCAGTTTACAAATAGATATACATTACATAACCAAGAAATAAATGTTCATATCAAAGAAAACTGTTCTCTGTGCTCTATTTCACATTCATGTTCTTCCATTACTTTTTTTCAGCGATATTACTTTGGCCAGTTTTCATATGTATGACAGAAAGTAACACTTCGATTAATTACATTTAAAATATACTTTATAGTCTAACAGTATCAACCAAAAGCATTCTGATATTTGAATGCGTTTTCATGGTGCCAAGCGCCCCCCAAAGGAAGACCATAGGAAGACACGTTTAAACCCACCGGAAGGAGTAGTCTAGCCCCACCCCCTTGCCTCCGCCATGTACTCCATGGGAAGGCGGGCGAATTTGAAAGAAGAGCAGAATCGTTGATATCCTGTCAATGTTTATATAAGAGACGGATTTTTTTTTATTACGTGTTTTTGTTTGATATTATCCAATACAACACGTTCAGATATCGACTCGTGTACGTTAAACACAGGTAGAGCTCTGTTAGCATACATGCAGTCTTGCTGTTGTTGTGATTGTCGCATTTTAAGTTTCTCGTGTGTTCGTAGTGTTAGCTTAACGCTAACGCTACTGCTTTCGTGTCTGGATCTGGATTGTCTTGCAAGATGAGCAACAAAACTACTCGATTAACTTCGAGGAAAAGCAGCGAGCAAATCAGAAGTGAGTGTTAACTTATTTCTGTAGTGTGTACGAGCATGATGATATTTCGTTTTTTTTTTTTAACAGGGCTAACTTACTGTCTGTGTCTAATGCTACCGAGTGGGAGTGAGAGTTAAAATGGCTTCATGATACTAAAATGTTGTACTTTGTGTTATTAAATCACAAATAGTGTTGTCTTTTTACACACAAATGTTGTATGTGCTCAGAGTCAAATGGAAAGAGTCCAGCACGGCGGAGGTCCTGCAGATTGTCTGCAAATGACGAAAATCTGGCCTCTAAAGTTGTGGTGAGTTCACGAAACACGGAATGGATTGAAAATGCAATTTAATTTTGCAGTCTATGCGGGTCAACAGTAAACTTGGTGATTTAGCTCTTTAGAATAGATGTGTAATATTATGTGTTTCACTTTTAAGGCTCCACCTGTGGCTGTGAAACGCTCGATCACTGTGAGGAAGATTGCACCCAGGAAAACTCAGGTAATTCTCACAAGCCCAATATCATGCTTTTTTAAAACAGCAGTCAAATATCTATTTAGCAGATATATAGTTTGTCATGACTAGATTAGGATTTAATAGTGATCTAGTTAAGTAAATTTAGGTTGCCCGTTTATTAAGGGGTTTACCTGTACCACCAATAGATAATGTTATCATATGGAAATGTTCTTCAAGGCCCCGTCTGACAGTAACAAGGAGAATGTGGAACGGTCATCTGAAGTGCCAACAAAGCTCTCCAAAGTCTTGACATCATCCCCGGCGGTAGCAACAGCGCCCCAGACCGTGGTCCTCTCGCCCATCCTGCCGCCTCAATCTCCCTCTTCTCAGCCCGGAGAAGCACAGCCGGACCCCGTCTGGTCCCAAAAAGTGCGGCGCTCCTACAGTCGCCTGAGTGTGGGGGACAAGTCCTTTGAAAGCCCCAAATGCCAGCCTGCACCTTCCTCTTCTCCCAACGGCCGCGAGACCCTGTTTGGTTTCGAGAGGCTGCAGACACCAGAGGTGATGCGTAAAACGGAGAAATCTCGAGTAGTTGCTTTAGGCTCTGCGTCCTTCTCCCTGGGGTCTTTCAACGCCTCCGCTGCTGAGGACAGTGCGTCACACCCTCCTGAAGTGGATCCAAACATCCCTGGTGTTTGTCTGGGGAAGAAGACCACCAGGAGGAAGCGTGTTCAACAGATTAAGGTGAGAGAGGGTCGGGGAAGGACTCCATTTTTGCCATTTTTGTCCTGTTTAAACGGAGAATTGCAAGATATTTCTCGCACAATTCTGAGTTTATAAACGTGAGATTTGATCTCTGGATTCTGAGAAAAAAGTCTAAATTGTGAGATGGAAATTTGGTGGAAACAGAATAGCATGATAAAAGTTAGAATTTTGAGATATAAACTTGTGAGAAGAAAAAAACTAGTTTTATTCAGTGGCAGAAACAAGCTTTTGTATGATATAAAACATCTGAAACAATTTAAAGGTGAAGTGTGTAATTTCTGTTTCACCAGATTAAGTTGCGTAAATGACTTTTAATGCATTCCCTTTGCTCTTTCAGATGTCAGAGTTGGATTTTCTTGCTGCAAAGTTGAATGCAGAGTTTGAGGAAGCGGAAAGTTTTGATCTGTTTGTTGAATGAAATTTCAAAAAGAGCTTCACACGCTCTGGACATTTTCAGGACACGTCATGTTTTACAACTTCTAGGTTAAGTATTTTTCATTACGCTTCTTGTCATCTGTAACTGCTTGCAAAATCTTGATTGATTAACTAAAGCATGTTTTAAAAAAATCAAACAAATGTACCGGTAGTTTTATTCTTATATAATTTGATTATTTCACAATTCTACAGTCAATATTCAGAGATTTCACCATTAAAGGGATAGTTCACTTTGAAATTAATTTTTGGTATGTTTTAGCTTACCTCAACGGCATCCAAGATGTAGGTGTCTTTGTTTCCGCAGTAGTTTAAATTTTGATATTTTTAGGTCAAACCGTTCTTGTCTTGTCAGTCATATAATGGAGGTCTATGGTCACCACCTCAAAGCGCATGCACAGAGAAGTCCAAATTAAACATGATTTAATGACTCGTAAATGTAAGTACGTATTGATGGCCTAAGACACAAAACGAGCGGTTTGTGTGAGAAAACGAACAGTATTTGTATCGTTTTTACCTCTTGTAACCACATCCAAGTGATCTGAGGGCGTGGGCGCTTTGTGGCTGTGGTTACACAAGAGGTAAAAACGATGTAAATACTGTTCGTTTTCTCACACAAACCGCTCGTTTTGTGTCTTAGGCCATCAATGTGTGCTTACATTCACGAGTCATTAAGTCATGTTTAATTTGGACTTCTCTGTGCATGCTCTTTGAGGTGGTGACCATAGACCAGACAAGAACGGTTTGACCTAAAAATATCAAAATTGAAACTACTGTGGAAACAAAGACACCTACATCTTGGATGCCCTTGAGGTAAGCTAAAACATACCAAAAATTAATTTCAAAGTGAACTATCCCTTTTAAAGCATCGCTGAAGGTGGTCTTTATTTCAATTTCTCATATTAGATGGATCAGTTGGTTAAAATCATTTACCCCTTAAATAGGTCGTCTTGGTCTCGTTTCTTAAATGTGCGTTATTGTATTTCATCACTACACAACTGTAGTGGCCTAATGTTTTAATAAATAGCATTATGGAGGAGTAAGAGGTTGTAAAATTCTAAAGTTTAATAGTATAAACAAACAGTTTTTGGGCGGATTCGTTCATATTACATTTATATCCATAAATTATGTCTGGATAAATTCCAGATAAAGCCTCAGAAACTTTAATAGACTTTAAATTCTAGATTAGTTGAGATATAGATACTTTAAATGTTTTTAGATGTACATAGGAACGTATTACTAGTGGAAAACAGTATGTTGAGTTCTGTGTGTGTTTTGCTGTGCCTCACCACTAGAGAGCACTTGATCATCGACGTATTCATTTGTTCATCTACTGTTAATATGTTCTAACATGGTTTTTTTAGAGGATTTGATGTGCGGTCTATCAACACACAATCCATTCATCAATAACAAACCTGACTGCTCTGTAACATCAGTGCCTGTGTCATTGCTGAAGTTATCGAGCTATGCTGCCATTCATATCTGTTCAAAATAAATACCGTCTTATTTAACATGGTGGTCTTTTGTTGTCTGATCGTTTATGTAATGAGAGGGAGATAAATTAGACTTATTTGGTTTGGTTACACTTTATTTCTATACTCCACTTTACTATCTTAAATTATTTCATGTCAACTAGCTTGCAGTGGCATATTAGTGGACTGTTAGAATAAGTTGGCTTGTAGTTGCTAAGTTACTTATAGATGGTAAAATATCGAAATAGTGTTCATTGTGCATCAATCAAGCAACTGAACATGTGTGACTCACTTTAAAACACTTGTAGTGTGAATCTCTTTAACTGCAAACTTCATCTAGCCTGGGCTGTTAAAAGGATAGTTCATCCAGAATTAAAAATTGAAACCTGTGTGACTTTCTCTCACTCAAAAAGAAGATATTGTGAAGAATGTTGGTTACCAAACAGTTTCTGGTCCCCATTGACTTCCACAGTAGGAAACGAATACAATGGAAGTCAATGGAGCCAGACAACTGTTTGGTTACCGATATTCGTTAAAATATCATCTTGTGTGTTCAACAGAGAAAAGAAACTCATACAGGTTTGGAACAACTTTAGGGTGAGTAAATGCTGACAGCAAACTTCATTTTTTTTGGGTGAACTATCGCTTTAAGCAATAATGTGGTGAATACTTAGTGAAGTTTATATATCTGTGAGTGTATTTTAATAGAGTGATATAATTTAACATTGCAGAATATATTGTTGAGACTGCTAAATCTAATTTGGCTGTACAACCAATTAATGAGAGGTGAATATTTCCTGAAGACATGCTGGTGAAGTCATTATATAATTAGAGGAAGTTGATGGGAAATGATGTCCTTGTTTGGCTCGGCTGGACGGGGCTCAGCTGTGTTTGTGTCTGTGTTCATTTGTTTTTTTTCTGAAGGTTAAATCTCATTGCAGTTTGTCATTGATTATGATTGGTTGCCTGACCAGTGTTACACAATTTATCATTGATTGTCTCTAGCACGGAATGGAATGAACCAATAGGAAACGCATCATCACACCCGCAAACACGAGATCTGCTCATGCGCTTATAATACGAGTTTATAATTCGCAATGATGCTGGTTGGTTTATATTTAAGCAAAGGTGTTTTTGGCTTTTATAAACATGGTCATCGCAGTTGAATATTGTCTTTCATCTAAAACTGCACAGAAAAAGTTAGAATTGACTTTGAAACAATTTTCACTCATAAGTAAATTCCACAAATAATTACAAAGAAACAGCAATAAATACATTAAATTAAACATTCGTTTTTGGAGTAGAATGACTGAAACAGTATTTTCTTGCAAAACGTATTACAGTAATGTATTTACAACTTGAATATATATATTTAACAGTGTATATTATATACACTCAAGTAAAGGATTATTAGGAACAGCATACTAATACTGTGTTTGACTGCCTTTCGCCTTCAGAATGGCTTTAATTCTATGTGGCATTGATTCAACAAGGTGCTGAAAAGCATTCTCTATTGATAGGATAGCATCTTGCTATATAATTTATATAGTCTATATAATCAGTCTATATAATTTAAAAGTCGATTATTTTTGTTTATATGACAATGGCTGTGTGAGTAATATGAAGTAGTACCACCTGTGATTGTATTTGTTATAAAGACTGAACTTTTGTGAAGTTAAGATCTTTTTTTCTGAATCGTATTTAGCTTCATCAATGTTTTTAACATTTATGTCTCCTGTGAAGTGATTCTGATGGAAGGCATGGAGCGTGAGGGAAAACATGTGCCTGTGAACGTGTGTTTAATGTTGCAAATTTAAATTGATTCTCAATGATTCCATCCTCATCTCTGTTGCGTTAACATATGCATCAATAGTGATGACAGACACAAGCCCAGGCCTGAAGCAAAGGAAACTATGAACCATAGAGAAAAATAGAAAAATACCACGTCAGGTAACTAATTTATCAACATTTTATTTAAATGAACTATCAACCATTTACAAGGTCAAATCAAAAGATGAGCTCTTTTTTTTTTTAAACATTTATGAATAATCTCTAAGGATCTAAAATATATATAATTGAATAATATCATGCATGCAGCTTATTTAATCTGATCAAGCTTTATGCGTTATCCTGCTGGAATGAGCCATCAGTGGATGGGGACATGGTCAGAAACAATGATCAGGTAGGCCGTGGCATTTAAACGATGCCCAATTGGCACTAAGGGGCTTAAAGTGTGCCAAGAAAACATCCCCCCACCATAACACCACCACCAGCCTGCACAGTGGTAACAAGGCATGATGGTTTTTCGGCATGAACGTTTTGTTTAAATGACCTAACAACCACACTGATTTGTTATCACAACATATTTTCTTTTGTCAAATCAACTTTATAATAATTTATTTAGTTGAGATAACTTATTATTTTGAGTTTCTGATGAATAAATTAATCTCCTTGATTGTATTAACTCACTTTTTCCAGGTCAATCAACTTAAAATTTTAAGGCAACCAGGTTACTTACTTTTTTAAGTTAAACCAACAATTTTTTTTACAGTGTAGTAATCACAACATTTTTTCTTTTGTCAAATCAACTTAAATAATTTATTTAGTTCAGATAACATATCATTTTGAGTTTCTGATGGTTAAATTAATCTCCTTCATTGTATTAACTCACTTTTTCCAGTTCAATCAACTTAATTTTAAGGCAACCAGGTTACTTACTTTTTTAAGTTGAACCATCAATGTTTTTTTACAGTGCATATACTAGGTCAAATCAAAAAATGAACTCTTTTTTTTTTTAAACATTTATGAATAATCTCTAAGAACCCTAAAAATATATACGTAATTGAATAATATCATGCATGCAGCTTATTTAATCTGATCCCCGATAATAATAATAATAAAGTAGCCACTACCTATAATGGAAAATAATCTCCCCTTCAAGAGTTATTTTAGCTTTAAATTGATGATGTTACCATTGTTGCACAAATTTGCCACAGGCACTTCAGACTGTGATAGGAATTATTGACATCTGATGCTCACACTGGTCTGATGGCTGCTGGAAAATCAGCCATGTCAAATAAAGGGGATGGACAGACATGGATAGAAAAGTTATGAAAATAGCAGAGCTCTCACCATCTCTCCCGAACCCTTCAAACACGCAGCATTTGTTTGGTTTGGCTTATAATAGGCATTTTCGTATATTTTTTTTTTCCCCCTTTGTAATTAAGTATTGCAATTGTGCTTTTAAATTAGTATTACACAATACTTATTTTTCTTAAATCCCTTGAGGAGGTCTGGCTTCGTTTCTCTGTTTTCAGGTAAGATATTGCAACCTGCTAACTTTTTCTTTTTAATGTAGAGCAATAAAATGAACAAGATATGTAGTACAGTTTATTTGACTGTTTTAAGTATTCCTGAATTTTTTTTTTTATTCCTGTTTATATGTCTTAGATTAAGTATATTTTTATACGTATAACACATTTGAGAAAATCTAAATGTCAATGCTTAAAACGTCAGTAATTTATTCAGATGTTCCGATAGTTTTAATTGTCAGTCATGCTTTACTATGTGCACAACATTTTTTTTAACTCCAAAATATCTATTCCTACAGTACTTCCCCTTGCACTGAGAAGCAGAGGACGCTTTGTTGCTCTGGAATCAAGGATATTGCAACAGTTTTACAACTCAAGAACTATTCAATTCAGTTCCATTATCTTTCTGAGAAAAAGCAGGAACATAGGCAATGGCTCATCATCAGATACGTCACCATAGTCAACACCATCAGCATCCTCACCATGAGCGCCGGCACTCATCTCATCGTCACCACCGTGGTCCACAACTTCCAGAGGAACATGGAGATAAGAGGTGATAGATTTACACATATTTGTATTTCAACGCATTCTCACCCCAAGGCGTCACCTTTGACCATGCTTCAATATTTGACGTTTTAGGCGCCCTTTAGCGTCACTTACATGACGCGATCCTACGGCGTCATCTAACTGACGCTAAAGGAAAGCGTCAGTTAAGGGACGCGGTTAGGTTTAGGTGTGGGGTGGGGGTAGGGTGCACGCGATCCTAGGGCGTCATCTAACTGACGCTAAAGGGCGCCTAAAGCGTCAGATATTGAAGCATGTCCAAATGCTTCCCAATTCATTTGGTTCAGTTAATCATTCAGTTAAGTGACGCCTTGGGGGTGAGAATGGGCTGTGTATTTATGTAATAATGAAAACAAGTCATCTATATATAAATATAAATGTGCAAATTGTATATACACTTGGGGGTTGCATTTATCTTAAAACACAACACTGTATTACTGTAAAATGCAGATAGATACAACATTAAAAATAATACAAAAAATATTTTTAGATGCGTTTTGGTCGATCGGATCACATGTGAATGATGCTTAATGTGGAGGCAGTCTAATGGTTAGAGAGTCTGGGTTGCGGGTTTGATTCTCAAAACCGGGAGGAAATGACTAAGTTGCCCTTGAGCAAGTCACCAAACCCCCAATCAGTCCACTGTCCATGGTTTGCAGTGTGTGTGTTCACTACTCACTGCTCCTTATGTGTGTGCACTAACTAGGATGGGTTAAATGCAAAGGACAAATTTCGAGTATGGGTTACCAAAGTTGTCCGTCACTTCACTTAAAACTAAAAAGTTTTGAGCTTGTCCTCTTTCGACCACCAGAGGTCGTCGAAAACGCTTTAGACCGGACTAATTTAAAGTCGGCAATATTGTAGTGTTTATTATAAATTAAATTCATGTACCCTTATCCACAAGTTTCCTACGCCCCATGAGGCCTTGCGTCAAAAGTGGGCGCGTCTTCCGGGTCGAAGTAAACAAAGCGCGACTTGACATACTTCACACTCGTTTATTCAACAGTTGACAGTCATTCAAGTTATAGCGATCCAAACTAGCTAACGATGTGGGAACACAACCTCAACAAAATTAAAAAGAGTGAAATAACAGTACCTTTACCCTCTGCAGTCGTTGGTTGGGAGTATTATAATAACATTATTAATAATCAATACTCATCAAGGCATGGTGACAGACAGTTGTGCGAGCTGACAAACAATTAAAATAAGGGTGTAACATCAGTAGCGAACAGCCAATCACATGCTGATAGAGTTTATAGAATATTAAGAATTTAAACAAATGTGCACAGGAAGATTCGTCGTCTTTTGGGAGGTGATGGAAACTACAGTCGAGTCGTTGGCAGGATCACTCTGATTTCGTTTTCGGCTTATGTTCAAAACAATCACGTTTAAGCCACTGAATTAGTTTAGTCCGGTTATACATACAACCGCGAACAGCACATGTTGTCCCTGAGCTCCGTAACGACATCTCTCATAAAGATTTGCGTCTTTAAATAGTAAAATAATTCTCCGAAAAACAGCTAGCCTCTTCGCTAACTAACACACAAAATACCATTGGAATGCTACTTCCGCCGCCTTACCGGAAGTTTCACCCACTTTATTTTTTACAGGAGCGCCCCTCGGAAACTTGTGGATAATCTTTAATCAAATACATAACCCTTCCCTCCCCCATCGAAATGACCTCTCTTCTATTTCGGTCACGTGCAATGGCGAAAGGGTGTGGCCAGATCCAATGAGGGTGCGGCTATCGGTGCACCGCCTCTGATAAACGCATTCAAATCTGCCTCGATTTTTTTTTGTAACGCCCAACCTTCAACGATCTAATCAGTTCCTGAAGAACGAAATCAAGCCCTGCCCTACATTTTTTTTCTAATTTAAGAAGCCGTTTCACTCGGATATACGTCACAACAAGGAAAAAATTACAATCTCAACTTCCGCTTCACGCCAACTTTAATACGTTAAACGCTCATGTGGTCGAATACGTTCAAACAGCCAACTCTCTGCGTAGTGATCTAATGTGTAAACTTTGTGGGAAACGCGCTAGCCTTTTAAACTTGTTTGGTTTGAAGACAAAAAAAACGTACCAAGCACAATGTTCTCTCAACATTCCTGATTTGTTTACACACAATTACAGCATTCGGCGTGGTCATGCGGTTGTCAGAGCAGGAACGAATGCTGATGCTGTCTCGGGTCGTGTTCATACGTAAATTTCAGAAGATTATTTGGTCCATTAGATCAAAAGATAGACATATACAAAGACCCTTCCCTTGAAGAAATCAGGACACAAAAGAGACAGATTATAATACCAGGTGTAAACGGGTGTGTCTCCCTCGTCTACTTGTGATACAATCGACCAAAACGCATTTTAATACCAGGTTTAAACAAGACCAAAATACAAGTACAGTCTCCTAAATGGTTGATGGGCATTGCTAAGCAGTTGCTGACCAGCCCATGTCAAAAAAACTCACCTTCAAGTCTTTATGCTATTCAAGAAACATGGTTTTGAGGTATCATTGTGTAAAGCAAAAATGGTGTGGGATGAGCTTATACATATTTACGTCATGAGTTTTGAATAAGCAGTAGTAATAGTGATTCCTGCCTTAGAGCTACTAATTCTTTGTCTTCACTTCCATCTATAGTGATAGCAGCACTGGTCATCATCATTATAACCATCATCACTCCCAAGCTAAAAGCCATAATCATCACCATCGTCATTATCAACAACCTCAAGATAAACATCACACAATGAAAAAGAAAACTCACTCGAAAGCTTCAGTGACTTCCTCAAACTCTTCTGGGTCTTCCTCTAGTTCAAAGTCTTCATCAAGCTCATCCAGTTCCGATTCCTCTTCTTCTGATTCAGCTTCCTCCACCAATTCCTCTTCATCTTCCTCCTCCAAATCATCTTTTTCCAATTCTAGTTTTTCATCTTCCTCTTCCTCTGGTTCTTCTTGGTCTTCTGAAGCCAGTCTGGAAAAGGCCCCATTGGCTTCTGAGTCCAAGCAAGCAATTCGACGTCCACAGCACTCACAATCATGTATGGATATCAGCCGAGGACGGAGAGCCTTTGAGGATGATGGGGATGATGAGAATGATGCAGACACAATGCCTTTATTGGAAGCTAACGGGCAACAGAAGAAGTCTACAAGCATGGAAAAGAACTTGACAGTCAAAGAAAAAATTGCCAAGAAGGCAACGTATTCTCGAGAACAGAACGAAAAGGGAAATAAGGGGCAAGAACGGAATCAAGCTAAAGCGGCTGCAAGCATAAGAAAGACTAAGTCTATGGAGGTTCTGCCCAGGCGAGTGCATCATGCTGGTTCTGGGTACTTGGATGAGAAAGAGCTGGAGAAAAAGAAACAAGAGGCCCATAAGGTCTTTGTGAAGGAGAAGATAAAGTTCTCTGCCTTTTTGAACGAAATCACAAGGCAGGTGCTTAGCCCATCAAGACTTACTTCCCTTGGGGTAACAGATGTTCAAAGACCCTCCAGCCCTGGGCAGACTTCAACGTCTTCAAAGGCATTGTCCCCAAAGCCTGAACATAAAAGTGAAAAGAAGTCAAAAATTTCTAGAAGCCGACCGGGAAGCAGTGCTAGCTCCATAACTTCAACCGCTCATTCCCATGCTAGCAAACGCTCACACTCCAGTAAACACTCCCATTCCAAACGTCACTCACATTCAAGCAAGACCTCCCGCTCCAACAAGCATCCTTATTCTGAAAGGGACCTCATCAATCAACAACAGCATCAGGCTGTCCCCAGGCGTCATCACGACAGTACAAGGAGTGATACAAGCAATACTAGCTCTTCCTCAAAATGTCTTTCATCTGGGACTGAACGTGGTCACAAAGGTCAGAAGCAGCACCGAATTGCCACCAAAGAGAAACATTTCAATCGAAATTCACACCACAAATCATCTCCGACACACCACCATTGCAATGAAGATTATCATAGCCCACCTTCACGTGCTTGTTCTCCAGAATCAGAAAACCGCCATCGTCATTCCCACCAAGAATCGCATCACCATCATTCCCATCAAAAATCTCATCACCGTCATTCCCATCAAGAACCTCATCACCGTCATGCCCATCCAGAATCTCATCACCATCATTCACCATCGCCATCTCATCGACATGGAACTCATCATAGCCCATCACCACACCATCATTCTCCTTCAGATTCCCATCATCATTCACCTTCTCCATCACAATACCGTCATGGAGCTCACCGCAGCTCAACACGTTCTTCTAAGTCAGGGACTCACCGTCATCGTTCCCATTCAGAAGCTCATCCTTCTCACAAAGAATCACACCATCAACATTCACCTTCACCGCCACATCACAACCAAGGAAGTCACACCACCCCAGTTTCAGAACCTTCCCACCGTCATTCCCGTTCAAAGTCTCACCACTATCATTCGCCTCCTCCTCCTCTCCACCACCACGGAGAGCATGGTAGTACATCTAATCTTTCTACAGACTCAGAAACTCACTACCAGTCTGATGTGAAATTGCAACATCATCATTCTGACCATGAGTCCTCTTATCCCAAATCTCACCATCACCATCATCATTCCCGTCACAGTCACTCATCCAACACCATCCAACACCATCACACTTCTGATTCACACAGTGAAACTCGCCAACTCTCTCACTCTCATAATGCATCCCCTACACCAGAACACCATTATCATTCTTCTCATACTGACTCTCACCATAGTCCTCATCAACATCACCATCATGTATCTGACAGTTATCCAAAAGGCCCTGCTCACTCTAATTCAGCCCATCATTACGAAAATCATCATAACACACATTCAGAATCCCAGGATCCTAAAGGACACCTTTCCCGTTTAGAACTCCACCTCCACAGTGATCATGATCCTCCAGAAACTCGCCCAAACCATTTCCCCTCAGGAAGTCATGAAACCCCCCCTGTTGAACCTGATCATTACCATCACCACAAATCTCAAGAATCCCACCATTATTCCCATCACCATTCCAATCCAGAGTCTAACCATCCTCAACATCATGAGCATTCAGAATCTCATCATCGTTCCCAACCAGAATCCCACCATCATCATTCTCAAGATCACCATCATTACCCTGACAACCCAGAATCGCAGAATCAGCATTCCAATACAGAACATCACCACTTTCATTCGGAATCGAACCACTATCATTCCCACTTCAAAGAGGATCATCACAATGATGATCACACGAGTCATCTTCGCCACTCTCCAGTTGGCCAGCGGTCTACTTCTCCTCATTCTAACAAGTCAAATTCATCCGCGAGCTCCACTATCCAGGACGACCAATCCACAGTGAGCTACCATGAGTCGTCCTCATTCCTAAAAGTGAGCATTTTTTTTTTTAGTGTTGAAGTAGAATGAAAACATAGATATTTTATATCATTTGTTGTTGGGTTTTCCACATTTGCAACCAATTTCGTCTTTGCATAGGAAAAGGACTCAGAATTGGAGAGATTAACGTGAGTCCATTGTCTACTTTTGCATTCTTTTTTTGCATGCAGCCTGCTAAACTTTGGGTCTGGAAATGACTTTTCAGCTTTGGATGGATGGTAGTGAAACAATTTCAGATGTAAATGATCCCCATCCTGGCATGCCATCACTCATAGAAGTGCTGTGTCTCTTACAGTCTATTCATGGAGGTGTCTGTCTGTCGATTCAATCTAGGAGGTTACAGGAGCAGAATGAGGTTCTCCACCACAACTTGCTGCAGACCACTGTGCGAATGGAATGCATGGGATCTGAATTCAAAACTGGCCACCAGCTCATTGAATCTGAGTTACAAAGAACTCGCATAGAGCTAAACAGCTTATTGGAGCGATTCACAAGGTGAGACACAAGACTAAATTGTATTGTGCCATATAGCACATTATATTCTATTCTATTTGATTGGATTAATGTATAATGCATGCACGCAAAATGGACTAGTCCAAAAAAAGCTGTTTTTAGCATGATTTGAGCTCAAACTTTCAGTCAGGGTTCATGGTTTGGCAGGCAGTGCACATCCTCCAACACGCACATCATCACAATTATTCATTTTGCATACACATTTTTTGTCATACACAACAGATGTTTTTTTTTTTTTTTAATTATAGGGAATTATATATATATAAAAAAATGTCTTAATCAAAGAAGAATTTTTATGGCTTTTAACAATTAATGTGTTTTTTAGCGTTGTATAAGATTTGCTCCCAACAAGAGAAACTGCCCGGCAAGTTTCTCTTATATTTCCATCTGAGCAAACTACCCTTGTGGAAAAGAAGTGTGCTTAATTGTACTGAATGTGTGTTCCTCAGATTTTAAATGTATTTGCAAAAAAAGAAATTCTTATAATACAGTGGTGTGAATAAGTTTGGACACCCATGCTAAAGTTGCCTAAAAAGAGGAATAAAAAATCATCTTTTGGATATTGATCTTAATGCCTTAATTAGAAAAATGAGGAAAACTCCAACCTTTAAGGACACACATTTTCTTTGTGAATGAATAATGTATCAAAAATGAATAAATGTTTTTCCCTAAAATACAGGGTGCATAAGTCAGGACACCCCTATGTTAAATTCCCATAGAGTCAGGCAGATTTTTATTTTTAAAAGCCAGTTATTTCATGGATCCAGGATAATATGCATCCTGATAAAGTTCCCTTGGCCTTTGGAATTAAAATATCCCCACATCATCACACACCTTCCACCACACCTAGAGATTGGCATGGGGTACTTTCCATAAGATCATCTTTCAATGCAAATCAAACCAGCTATACGCCTTATTCACGGCTGCGCCATCTTTGATTTTTAATGAGAATGAAAGCGAGGCTGTGAGGGATAGTCATGCATCTCTTCAATGGGCTGTACTGTTATTTAATGTGTTTTCGGATTGTTCTGCTCATGAAACACTAAAAAAATATTTTTCCAAGAAATTTCAGTTGACAAAAAACTCCCGACAATGTAAGCTGTGGAAAATTGTAAGTATCTAGCAGTTTTATTCAGCTTTTTACAGCGGATGCCATTGGAAACACGGTAAGTCTATCCCTCACAGCCTCACTTTCATACCTGTCATGGCGCTGCTCTGAATAAGGTGTATTGTGCTAACTGAAGTAAAACCATGCCAATCTCTAGGTGTGGTGAATGGTGTGTGATGATGTGGGGATATTTTAATTCCAAAGGCCAAGGGAACTTTATCAGGATGCATATTATAAAATAGGATTCAAAAGGATTCTCGTCGCATTTTTGGGTGAACTAACCTGTTAATTTGTCTGAAAACTTAACACTTGTGTTAAAGTGTATTATGGTAAGGAAATGTCTTTTTCTTTCATCAGACTTCAGGAAAACTACTCTAGCACACAACAAACCAACCACCTTCTGGAGAAAAAACTGCATTGTGTGGTAAAGCGCAGTTTAATTCTTCAATCTTAGTTAGTAGTTCCAACCTAAGGAATTAAGTACATTGGCTTTAATGGATTCACAATCTCATAATATCAATAAACCATTGATTTACACAAACTTTTCAAATTCAAAACAACTTGTGTTTGTTTTAATTTTGACTTTATTGTTACATCTGTCTGTCTTGTTACTTCAATTTAGGCACAGAATATGGATGGAGAGCGTGAGCGACTGAACCAGCGAATCTCTGAGCTCTCAGATCAACTGTCTACAGCAAAAACGACCATCCAAAGTCTAGAGACCATTAATGTAAGAGTTTGATTTCGTTATTTTGATAAAAAGTTATGTTACGCTACATGCAGCATGTTGAATATTTACAATTTTGATCAGGGCAATGTTCTTCCGAGCAGGTTTGGTCACTCTAAACACGCATCACACCACAGGAAAATCTGATAAGAATCGGGACTTTATCTAGGATTGTCAAAAGGGTCCAAAATCGTCCAGAATATCTTGTGTACCAAGCATTAATGATTTTTTAAATCGTTTCGCAGCCCTACCGTTATATTACATTAATTCTTGTGTACAATAATTAGTGCATGGTTATTCCAAACATCCCTCTAATCAGAATTATTTTCCTTAATTTAATGACGTTCCTACACCCTTCCATTATATAGGTGACATCAATGCTACAGGATGCCCTGGTGAAACATTTGAAGTCTGACGATCCCATTACTCCACTTCCAGTCGCGCCACCTCCAGCTCAGTTCATGGATAGTGACCGTTACGACAAAGTCTCAATGCATGGCGACGACCAATCGCTGGGAACACTCCCAGAGGAGGAGGAATCTGATTGGTCCGAAATGGGAGAGGAGGCACAGATCTGCGTCTTGAGGGGTTCGCAGGGAAATCGTGAAAACGCGTCGTATTACCAATGGCAGCAGAGCCAAGGCTGTTGGGAGGGGATGAACCAATATTCAAAGGGAAACGTGGATACGGAGAGCGATTCTGGGGGCGAGGAGAGCAAGTGTCATCAACCTCCTCACGGCCTACAGATACCACATCTCAAGTTCACCGTTCACCCCGAAACCTTACCGATTCCTGTGGCTGATGTTAGCCTGGCCTGCTTCAATCAGGGTCCTGATGATCCAGATTGCGATGGCTACCGCATCACAGATGTACGTAATCTGGGCTCTCCCATTCGGGTACTCTCGGCTAGTCTGGAAGAGATCCACTCCATAGGGATTCTGAAGCAGCAAGAGCAGCAGCAGGATCATCATAAATCCATGATGGACCTCCACCAATCGCAAGTTTGCACCAGGCAAGTGTTGTACGAGGATGAGATTGAATGTGATTGGAGAGAAGCGAACAGCCATGGTGCTGGAGAGCATTTAAATGGGATGGTTGGTCTGGAGTCAGCTCAAAAAATGCTCAACCACTATATTCATGATGGAGAGAGTACACACTTGTGATTAACGGGACATTTTAAAATGGTGAATATTAATGATGCATTTATTATTATAGTATGTATGTTGCCAAAGTGACTTTGTCACACCTATTTTGGTAACGCTTCCTTTTACAGTACAGTACAGTACTTACAGTGTACTTACCTAGAAAGTACTGGCTAATATAAGGTAAGTACATGGTTAGTACTAGTTTTTACCCAGTAATTGTAGTTACTAAAATAAGTACATAGCATTTACATGGGTATCTGGACTGTAAAAGGAAGCGTTACCCCAACTTCTTACAATTTAATTACTATTATTTTTAAATTAGTGATAAATTCTGGTGGAGAATATTGGTAACGCTTCGTTTTACAGTCCAGTTACCCATGTATATACTATGCACTTATTTTAGTAACTACAATTACTGGGTAATAACTAGTACTAACCCTGAACCTACCCCTAAACCTACCCCTGTTCCATGTACTTACCTTATATTAGCCAGTACTTTCTAAGTACACTGTATGTATGCTGTAAGTACTGTACTGTAAAAGGAAGCGTTACCGAAGTTGGAATTTAGGTTTAGATTTAGTGAAGTCTTAAAGGGGCTATATGTAGAATTCAGAAACCTTTGTTATTAGCGATAGCGACACCGGTGGCCGCTAAGTGAACTGCAGCCAGCAACTTATTGCTTGTGCACACGTAACGTGAGAAGAGACTGAACGTGATATACTCACAGTTTCATTCTTCGCTTGAAAGTAAGTACAACTTGTAAATACCTTTGCAGTGATATACTGTTAACAAACATCCACGCTGCTGATTCGTTTAGACGAATATGTAAATATGTGCTGCGCACTTTCCTCTCAATAAAATGACAAAACAGCAGTTAAGCAAGCATTTGATCATAGCAATGTGGATCTATTTGCACCAGCGCTGCATTTCACAGATATTTTTTTACCTTTAAGGTTATGATTGATTATAAAGTATATTTGAGACTGCAGACTTTATATATTTGGTTATGTGAGACTATAGTTTAAATTAAAGGAGTTATTTCACTTTTAAAAAAACTTTTGCTGATAATTTACTCGCCCCCATGTCATCCAAGATGTCTACGTCTTTCTTTCTTCAGTCGAAAAGAAATGAAGGTTTTTGATGAAATCGTTCCAGGATTTTCTCCATATAATGGACTTCATTGGGAACCAAACGGTTCAAGGTCCAAATGAGAGTTTCAGTGCACCTTCAAAGGGCTTTAAACGACACCAGACGAGCTTATCTTGGACCCTTCGAGTCATGACTCGAAAAAAGATTTGTTCATTTTGATGAACGAGTTTGAACAGGAGAGTCACGAACGCGCATCACAGAACAGAGCAAGGCGAGCATTTGAGCTTATAAAACTTAAACTTTTTTTTAAATGACTGATCGTTTCACTAGATAAGACCCTTATTTATCGTCTGGTGTTGTTTAAAGCCCTTTGAAGCTGCACTGAAACTCTCATTTGGACCTTGAACCGTTTGGTTCCCATTGAAGTCCATTATATGGAGAAAAATCCTGGAATGTTTTCATTGCTTTTCGACTGAAGACAGAAAGACATGGACATCTTGGATGACATGGGGGTGAGTAAATTTTCAGCAAACGTTTTTTTTTTAAAGTGAACTACTCCTTTAATCCCTTTTCTTTGCATGACACATTGATATTTCAGTACAGAATGGCTCTTTCATCATATTCCTGAACATTGTATAAGCATTCATTGCAGGTGTCATTGACTGGATGAAAACGCTACATCCGTTATATTTCCTACATAAAAATCAGTCTACAGGCTTTCATATACAACTTTGGGCTACTGTATATAGCCTTTTGCTAATAGTTTAGCGTTTTGCTAAATGTAGCAATTTAATGCTGGTTGATGTTTATTGCTAATTAATGTAATAAAGATTACAGCGATAAGAGTAATGAAAAATAGATGGGTGAACTTGACTTTCAGCCTCGGTTCCCAGCAGATGGAGGCAGAAATTAATATGAGGATCATCTGCGCACTCACATTCTGGTCTGCTTGCATTCTTTTCATTCTTTAATTAATTCCTGATGGATAAAATCAAGTCCCTGCCTTTTCCCCCTGAACATCCAGTTTCAGTATCAATAATATCTCATTGGAGACGTAAAGTGGTATGCGAATGCTATTTAATGGCGACTTTAAAGATTGTTTCTGTAGTTTTAGATCATAATGAAAGATATTTCACCAATGAAAGATATGCATTGATCTGATTTTCTCTGTTGTTAACTTATTCACCTGTAGAAAACGCTTGATCCCCTAAAGATCTTGAAGCCACAAGATGATCTCTTGATTCTAGTCAGATGTATAGTTCTTGGGTTTGGTATTTATAAAGACAAAATTATTTAAGCTGAAATAATTTAAGCTCAGTAGATATTATTCATGTTTACTCAATATTTATTTGCATTTTTAATGTTTTGTCTAAGTGCATGTGCAAATCCATTTGTAATTATTCTAATACTCTTACGTCTAAAGCTTTATTTGTGTCTGATAACCATAGCAGCAACTTGAAGAGGTATAAATAGGTTAAAAAACATTGATTGATTAAATGAGAAGTACATAAATAAAAAAACTAAGATAAAGGGAGTCATGTCTTTAAGACTGTACTTAACATACAGTTTTTTTTTAAAAGGAAAACTAAAGGTCATTTTCCATGCAATATTTTTCATTCCAAATGTTTTTCCATTAGAAAAATTCTAAATAAATTCTAAATGTAATGTTGTTTGTGTGTATTACAATATAATATAACATAACATTAAATAATAAGAACACTGTGCTTGTTTTTAGAAGAATAAAAAACTCCTAGGATGATGCAGTAGAATGTGATTTTGATTTTATTTAAGTAGTTTTATGAAACGGTGCGCCCGCTTCTACAAACTCTATAATGCATCATCGTATATTGCCTTGCTGTTGCAGTTTGTATTAATGTCTATAACTATGCTGATATAAATAAATGAAAGTAGAACAAATATTAATCTTGGAGGCCTCTTATATTCATTTCAGTGTGTAGTGTATGCAGTTTTATTAAATAATTTACATACAATTGCACCCAAATTCCTATAAATAAAAACCTGACAATAAAGACACAGTTAAAGATACATTTTCTGCCCAAAAAAACCCAGTCTTAAAGTCTAAAGTCTTAAACCAGATGCTAAGTGATAGATTGTGTTGGTCATTATGGAAACGATCCAGCGCGCATCGCTAATTTGCCCTATTTAGTAAATCTGGCCCTAAAACTATTGAGAGAGTTGTCATTATTGAAATATGTTTTATTACATTAAACAAATTCGGTTCTCATGAAAGGTTTTGAATCCTTAATTTTTTAAGAGAAGTGAAGTTTGTCGATCGGGTTGGGCAAAGCAGAAAATGGATGAAGATCGTTAAAGGGATAGTTCACTTTGAAATTAATTTTTGGCATGTTTTATCTTACCTCAAGGGCATCCAAGATGTTGGTGTCTGTTTCCACGGTTTTTTCCAATTTTGATATTTTTAGGTTAAACCGTTGGAGTCTGTCAGTCATATAATGGAAGTCTATGGTCACCACCTCAAAGAGCATGCACAGAGAAGCCCAAATTAAACATGATTTAATGACTCGTAAATGTAAGTACACATTGATGGCCTAAGACACGAAACGAGCGGTTTGTGTGAGAAAACGAACATTATTTATATCGTTTTTACCTCTTGTAACCACATCCAAGTGATCTGAAAGTGCTGACGCTTTGATCTGCGCAAGCGCCGGAAAGCACCGGAAGTGATCTCTCTCGCAGTTGCGAAATAAAAATCAACGTTGTCTGTTGATATATCGAACTCGTCTTCCATTGCAATTTCGTGTGTATCATTGAGTGACGTACACGCGCAAGAGATCACTTCCGGCGTTTTCCCGCGATTGCGCAGACCGAAGCACCTACGCCTTCAGATCACTTGGACGTGACTGTGGTTACAAGAGGTAAAAACTATATAAATACTGTTCGTTTTCTCACACAAACCGCTCGTTTCATGCTTAATTTTGACTTCTCTGTGCATGCTCTTTGAGGTGGTGACCATAGACACTCATTATATGACTGACAGACAAGAACAGTTTGACCTAAAAATTTTTAAATGGAAACTACGGCGGAAACAAAGACACCTACATCTTGGATGCCCTTGAGGTAAGATAAAACATGACAAAAATTAATTTCAAAGTGAACTATCCCTTTAATGTGTGAATTAGTTTCTAAATGGGTGTTTTTGTTTTTATATTTAAGCACAAGAACAGGATCTTCCATTTGGTTGCTCTCATGGCCACCTACACTCTAAAAAATGTTGGGTTGTTTTAACCCAACTTTGGGTCAAATATGGACTAACCCAGCCGTTGGGTTAAATTTTTACATTACATTTTTAACCCAACATTTCGGGTTTGTCCATATTTGACCCAAAATTGGGTTAAAACAACCCAGCATTTTTTAGAGTGTACACAAGGAAGTCCGAATCTTCACCTCTAAACCGAGAGACGCTCTAGAACTAGTCTGAACTTTAAAGGAAGGCAACGGTCCTAATAATTTTTTTTAAGTCTACAAAATGCAGCCAAAATCGAACACCTATCAACTTTAAAGACAGCTTTAAGCACAATGGCTGCCTCCATTCTTCATGGCTGGCTATCATAGCCCTTCCAATCTCTTCCTTGTCGTTATTCATCATCTTTATCCTCTACATATGTGACGCAGTGCAGCGACTGCATGCTTTGCTGAGCAGACAGTGGCCTTGTTTCCCATTGGAGAGGGCCATTGTAATAGGATCGTTTATGGATTACAGGTAAGACGCACTAGACCTCTAACTTTGGCCAAATTCACTGTGTCTCACCCAAGCATGGGCATGGAGGTGGAAGGGCACCACTGTCACCACTGAGTGGGCATCGCTACGGGGGGATCACCACACAAAAATCCGGACTGACATTTGCCAACGGATTAAGAGACACCGACGTACAGAATTGCGGCTGCGTTGTTCGGATGAAACTGAATTGATCGCAAGATTTTGACCTCCAACCTGATTCTCAGGACTTCTTTCAAAGAGTTCACGTTTTGACGTTTCAACAGTTTTGTATTTTTCCCACACTCTTCTAGACTTCCCTTTTTCTCAAGTTTACATCATAACACTCTTTCACAATGGTTGTGGGTAAGATGAAGTTCACTTTTCAGAAAAGGGTGAAGTTGGCCCAGGGTTTGTGGCTGCTCTCATGGATTTCAACTCTGGGTGGAGCGATTACCTTCACTTTAGGATGCTTCCTAAAGACTGAGCTTCGAAGGAGGGGAGAGGTATCCATTTAACCCTCATATTTTTCATTTGCTTGATGTTTTTTGCTAATAATTCCATGTGTTATGCAATAATTTGCTTTGAGCTTTAAAATTGCCAATGACACCATCAGTGTTAGCAAATGAAGGTGTTTTTTTTAGTAGTGTGGCCTTGATTTAGTTTATGGAAGTTTATAGAATCTCTATTGTGCATTGATAAATACCTTCATAATTTATAAATAACTATGTTTAGGGCTCAAACGATTTGGAAATATCTGGCATGGATTAACCCAAGTGAATATTATCTAAGCCGGTCATAATTGGCTTAAGGAACTGTCCTTTGCAAATGAGCTCTTCAACCGTCTATGGGTCATAATCAACCAGTGACATCTTTCTGAAAAGGGGCCATGCATTACTAGTTACTCACACCAATATTTTTATTGACACACACACACAAAATATTTTTTGCATGTCTTTCATTATATATTGAGTAACCACCAACAAAAACCCACCAAATGAGAATGATAATACTATGTGTAATAGAAAGGAAATTCTGATTTAAATAGAAAGCAAGGAAAACTCCTTTGATGAAGCTGTTACTAATTGGTTCACAACAGTCCCAATGGATTATCAATTTTACTCGAATCTCTCTGTAAACAAAATGGAAAACAAAGCCACAACTGTGCTTTTAATGAATCAACAAACAGCTTTTTCTTATTCTCAAAAATGTATTGAACATACTTCTACACTGACTTGTACTCTAATAGCTCACTCTCCAATGATTGTTTAAAGGGACAGTTCACTCAAATTAATTACTCACCCTCATGTCGTTCCAAACCCGTAAGACTTTCGTTCATCTTCGGAAACACAGAGAGCTTTCTGTCCCTCCATTGACAGTCTATGCTACCAATTTGGTGCTTCAAAAAGTTTATAAAAGATCGTAAAACTAATCCATATAAATTTGACCGATTTATACGATGAACAGATTGAAGTCAGGCTTTTATTCACATTTACACATTGATCAGCAAACATGGAAGCTCAACCGATCCGGCTTGACGCGCAAGAACAAACCTCATTGGTCATTGTGGAAACTCAAAATTACTGGGTTGTTTTAACCCAACTTTGGGTCAAATATGCACCAACCCAGCCGTTGGGTTACATTTTTTAATTACATTTTTTACCCAATGTTTGGGTTTGTCCATATTTGACCCAAAGTTGGGTTAAAACAACCCAGCATTTTTAGAGTGTATAAAGCGATCGAGTCTCTTCAGAAAATTTGGACTAACCGCTCAATTCATATGGATTAGTTTTAGAATCTCTTTATACTTTTTGAAGCGCCAAAGTGGTAGTTGAGTATCTGTCAATGGAGGGATAGAAAGCTCTCAAATTTCATCAAAAAGCTCTTCATTTGTATTCCGAAGATGAACGAAAGTCTTACAGGTTTGGAACGACATGAGGATGAGCAATTAATGACAGAACTTTGATTTTTGAGTGAACTAAATCTTTAAAGGGATACTCAACTTGTTTTGGAAGGCTCATTTTACAACTCCCCAAGTTACCATTTTCGAATCCATTCAGCCGATTTTCCGATATTTCAGCCCGTTCTCATCCCAAGGCGTCATAGACTGACGCTTTTGACATTTCGTCTACATCCAACTCACATGGCACCCTTTAGCGTCAATATGAGACGCAGATATTTATGGGCCAGAAGGCGCCTCCTAGTGGTGTAACCCTAAACCTACACCAGAGCTAAACCTACCATAACCGAACAAAGCTCTATTTGTGTTATAATGACACTAAAGGGTGCCATATGCGTTGGATTTAGACGAAATTTCAAAAGTGTCACTATATGACGCCCTCGGATGAGAATGCGTTGGATATTTAGAAGAATATCAATAACCAGACAGTTCTGGTCCCATTGACTTCCAAAGTATATATTTTTTCCTACTATGGAAGTCAATGGGACCAGAAACTGTCCTTTGCAAATGAAATCTAGATGGGTCTGGTTGTATGGTCACTGATATTCTTATAAATATCATAAATTGGATTCGAAAATGGTAAAACTCAACTGTTTAACTCCGGGAGAGTGTTTCCAAAAAAAGTGGAGTATCCCTTTAAGCAAACTCAATATACACAGTGAGTGAAATGCAATCTGAGCTCAAACTGGACTGACATCAACATCCTCCTGTCCTTTAGGTAATGGACAACACAGACATCCACTGTGTGCCCAACACCTTGTTGATTGTGGGTCTGGCTTCAATGGGCATCAATTATTTTGCCAGTCGAATCTGCCAGGACGCCCTAGATCCGGGTCGTTTCCCACAATGGAAGAACTTCCTGAAGCCCTACTATGGATGCTCGATATTCTTCACCACCCTCATGCTGTTTTCCGTCATCTTGAGTTACGCCATGATGGGAAACCTAGAGTCCTCGCTGAAAATCGGCTTGAAGAACGGTATTCGCTTCTACAAGGACACCGATACCCCTGGCCGCTGCTACCAGAAGCAGACCATTGATCGCCTTCAGATGGAGTTCCAGTGCTGTGGAAACAGCGACTACAGGGATTGGTTCGAGGTGCAGTGGATCAGCAACCGTTACCTGGATTTCAGCTCGAAGGAAGTTAAGGAGTGAGTCAAAGGAAATGTCAATTAAAAGTGTTCATCCAAGAATGAAAATTCTGACATCATTCACACACCTTTATGTTTTTCCAAACCTGTATGAGATCCTGTCTTCTGCAGAACACAAAAGAGCATATTTTGAAGAATGTTTCTGTTTTTGTCCATATAATGATTTTGGGGTCCACACCCCATTGATTTTTATTGTGTGGGAATTATCCAAGAATCTTAAATAATTGCATACAGGTTTAGAATGACATGGAGTTGGGCAAATGATGACACTTTTTTTTTTTTTTTGGATAAACTATCCCTTTATTTGGTAATTGAGTGAATGGTATTGGGCTTTTTTGGGTATCTTTGATTAGGACACCTATGTGAACTTGAGGAGAACTACAGTCTTTATACTGAACTTGCACAAAATCACTTTGAGACCAAAATGGCTTAGTACGGAGCCTCCCTAGTCCCACTTTGGCAAAAAAAAACCAAAAAAACAATTATAACTATCTTGTGGCCTTAAGATAGTAACTCGTGGCCTCAAGATACTAACTCGTGGCCTCAAGATAGTAACTTGTGGCTTCAAGATAGTAACTTGTGGCCTCAAGATAGTAACTAGTGGCCTCAAGATAGTAACTTGTGGCCTCAAGATAAAGTTAGTATATTGAGGCCACAAGATAGTATCTTGAGGCCACGAGTTACTGTTTTGAGGCCACGAGTTACTATCTTGAGGCCACAAGTTACTGTCTTGAGGCCACGAGATAGTATCTTGAGACCACAAGTTACTATCTTGAGGCCAGGAGTTACTATCTTGAGGCGACGAGATAGTATCTTGAGGCCACGAGTTACTGTCTTGAGGCCACGAGATAGTATCTTGAGATAGTAACTCGTGGCCTCAAGATAGAATTAGTATATTGAGGCCACAAGATAGTATCTTGAGGCCACGAGTTAGTATCTTGAGGCCACGAGTTAGTATCTTGAGGCCACGAGTTAGTATCTTGAGGCCACGAGTTAGTATCTTGAGGCCACGAGTTAGTATCTTGAGGCCACGAGTTACTATCTTGAGGCCACAAGTTAGTATCTTGAGGCCACGAGTTAGTATCTTGAGACCACGAGTTACTATCTTGAGGCCAGGAGTTACTATCTTGTGGCCACGAGTTAGTATCTTGTGGCCACGAGTTACTATCTTGAGGCCACGAGTTAGTATCTTGTGGCCACGAGTTACTATCTTGAGGCCACAAGTTAGTATCTTGAGGCCACGAGTTAGTATCTTGAGACCACAAGTTACTATCTTGAGGCCAGGAGTTACTATCTTGAGGCCACGAGATAGTATCTTGAGGCCACGAGTTACTGTCTTGAGGCCACGAGTTAGTATTTTGAGGCCACGAGTTAGTATTTTGAGGCCACGAGTTAGTATTTTGAGGCCACGAGTTACTATCTTGAGGCCAGGAGTTAGTATTTTGAGGCCACGAGTTACTATCTTGAGGCCAGGAGTTAGTATCTTGAGGCCACGAGATAGTATCTTGACGCCATGAGTTATTATCTTGAGGCCACGAGTTAGTATCTTGAGGCCACAAGTTACTATCTTGAGGCCACGAGTTAGTATCTTGAGGCCACGAGTTAGTATTTTGAGGCCACGAGTTACTATCTTGAGGCCAGGAGTTAGTATCTTGAGGCCACGAGATAGTATCTTGACGCCATGAGTTATTATCTTGAGGCCACGAGTTAGTATCTTGAGGCCACAAGTTACTATCTTGAGGCCACGAGTTAGTATCTTGAGGCCACGAGATAGTATCAATTAATTTTTTTTGCCAAAGTGGGACTAGGGAGGCTCCGTACCATAGAAATGTGAAATTAGTTCTAAAAAATTGGCAGCACTTTATTTTACAGTCCTGTTCTCCATTTAAACCTAACCTTAACCCATATATTTACCTAAGGGCTTGTTTACTCCTGGTCACTTCATGCATTTTCTCAGATCAGATAGCTATCCGATCTGGAAAAGATTCAGTGTCAATACCCTCCGAAACGCATTCGTGACGTATTTAAATCCAATCACTCAAACCACTTCATGAGGTGATCTGAGACGCATTCCAGACGAAACTGGACAAGTCTAAAAGCATCTGGTTGTTGATACCACACATGTACATTTTACTTCTCCCAACTATGATAAAAAAATAAACATGTGAGAGCGTGCTATTATAGGCTATATAACATGTTATAGCCATGCTATTAAGACTAAGGTGCAAACGTTGACTCAGACATTCTTGTGTCTGTTAAGAAATGTACAGTCACATTAGCAAAATTTGTCAGCAAAAAGGTTGTCAATAGTGTATCCATGTGGTCCATGTGACCAAATTGAACTTCAAAATCTGTGTGGGAGATTCCCAATTGCATCTATTATTGAAATTAACGCATTTCGATGAAATGAAAATTTTAAATGTAACTGCACCGTATAAATGCACGAAGGTACAATTAAATGAAAAGCATAAAGTACAACATTTAAAGTTAAGATATTTTTGGGATCTATTTGTAACTTTATCTCATGTGACCTGCCGTAACAGTTTGCCATCATTCAATGCTCTTTTCTTCCATTTTCTTCATCTTCAATCCTCTAGCCGCATTAAGAGCAACGTGGATGGCCGTTACTTGGTTGACGGTGTGCCCTTCAGTTGCTGTAACCCTAGTTCTCCCAGACCCTGTATCCAATACAAAATCACCAACGACTCTGCCCACTACAACTACGAGCATGAGACCGAAGAACTCAACCTCTTCATCCATGGTTGCAGAGAAGCCCTGGTCAACTATTACATGGGTCTGATGAACACCATTGGAGCTGCGGTTCTGTCTGTCTTTATGATCCAGGTACATTATCACCAGGTTTGCTTGTACACAATGGACCTTAATCAGGGTAGACGCCATATTTATTTAAACATAAATTAAAATGAGAGGGATTCGGTTTGATGGCAGAAGGTCTGCAGCTTTCATTGGCCAAGGACCAACCAAGAGGCCGTCTGACTGACATGTAAACAAGCAACCAATCACAGTTCGTTTTGTTCAGGGCCATGTTTAAGTCGTGTTGTCCCAACAATAATAGACCGCCATGTAAAACTCTTGGAAGTATGCCTTCAACTTAGTTGATTTTGATTAGCGCTCATTGTCAGAGATGTAAACACAACAGCTTTCTTCTTCCATGAGGGGGTTTGGCATCACGAAGGGTTTGTTTCCAGGTGGACTGTTAAAGAACGCTAGATAAATGTCTCTCGGAAATCCTGTACAATTCAACCAATCAAATGACCACTTTGAAAATCCTGACATCTAAGGCTGAGACTAGAGAGAGATAGACATACCAATGAATTCAATGGATTATAGTGTTGTATACGGTAGAATAGGAAATATTGAATCTTTTCAACAGATTTCCAAGATATGAAAAAGTAAACCTTCAACCACCTTTTAAGGCAATATACAGTAACCCACTGAATGGACATTGAACAGATCACCACTTTGTTTTCATTCACATTAAAAATCAAATATCAGTTGGTTTGTGGACAACCAGGCTTAGCCAATTTAATTTCCCAGTTTAGTTTACTTAAATCTCTTTTTAAACCACCCCTATGCAAAAGCTAAATATGGTAACACTTTACACACAACATTTTTTTGTTTTACTACAGTAGTTAACACGAACCAACAATGAAAAAGTTCGGAAGCATTTGTTAATCTTAGTTAATGTTAATTTGAACAATTACTAATGCTTTATTAAAATGGTATCTGTTGACATTATTTAATCTAACTGAGATGACCTAACAATGAACATCAGTATTTTTTTTTGTATTTTAGTATATAGTATTTTTTATTAACTAATAGGTCCTTTTTGTAAATTGTTACCATAAATTCATACAGTACATCACGTCATTTGATATGAACAAGTTCTATTCATTGCCGCACATTCATTACAGTAACTGAAATGCATTTGTGATAACTATTCTAAAAAATGCTGGGTTGTTTTAACCCAATTTTGCGTCAAATATGGACAAACTCAAACATTGAGTTAAAATGTAATTTAAAAATTTAACCCAATGGCTGAGTTGGTCCATATTTGAAAAAAAAAAAAATGCTGGGTTGTTTTAACCCAAATTTTGGTCAAAGTTGGAAAAACCCAATTGTTGGGTTAAAAATGTAATTTAAACATTTAACCCAATGGCTGAGTTTGTCCATATTTGACCCATAATTGGGTTAAAACAACCCTAAAAAAATGCTGGGTTATTTTAACCCAAATTTGGGTCATAGATGGACAAAACCAAATGTTGGGTTAAAAATGTCATTTAAACATTTAACCCAATGGCTGAGTTTGTCCATATTTGACCCATTATTGGGTTAAAACAACCCTAAAAAAATGCTGGGTTATTTTAACCCAAATTTGGGTCAAAGATGGACAAACCCAAATGTTGGGTTAAAAATGTCATTTAAACATTTAACACAATGGCTGAGTTTGTCCATATTTGACCCAAAGATGGGTTAAAACAACCCAGCATTTAGAGTGTAGGCTAGAGTGGGGCAAAAAAGGATCAATTTCAGTGCATACAGTTAGTATATATAATTTCACAAATAAACACCTAGAAATCTTTGATAAATCATAACCTGTAACTTGACTTCTACAATACCTTTACTAACCAGCCATTTTATTTTCCATATCAATGGCATGTCGTCCACAGAGCTCAGTGTTGGCCAGTGTGCGCCTCCTGCAGACGTCTATGGAGGCCGTTGCTGGACAGGAGAATGTGGAGATCGAAACCGAGGGCTACTTGCTTGAGAAAGGAGTGAAGGAGACCATCATGGAGTATTTGGATCCTGTGCTGAAGCTCCTGTGGCTGAACCAGGTAACCCCTCCTGAAGACCAAGCCGAAGCAGGGGCGTCTGGAGCGACCAGCTAAAGAGTCAGATTCATCTGACCCCTGAAATCTGTCCAGATGGAGGCTGAGAGCGCTAATCAATCAATTAATTAACGTTTTGGTATTTTTTATATACATACATATATCCGTTTTATTGACCTAAACACACATCTCAAAGAGTTGTATACTTCATTAAATGGTTGCTTCTGAACTAAATGAACAGCATCATAGTTTCACCCAAGTCTTTTGAATGATGAATGATTACACTGCCAATTCTGCAGCGCTCTAATGTTTTATTACCTTGGGGTGAGTAAACGTCTGTTCATTCCTGTCAGGAGAAATTTGGTGCTGCTCTGCCTGGGAAATGGTTGAATATTTAAGAGTGACTGAGCAGTTGTCTTAAATTAAAGTTATATTATATTATTTTCCCATTTACACATTCCTAAAAGAGGCTGATTCAGTAATATACTACTGCTACCATATGAATGTTTTTTAAATTATTGTAATAACCGAAACATGCAAAACAATGCAAGAAATGTGCTTAATTGTAATGAATGTGCACTTCAAATCTTAAAACCCCATTGTTAAAAAATGTAATAATCCTAATGATATAAAAGGCCACTTTCAAGTACACTTTCAAGTATATTTGTCACAATTAAAATTGTACTTAATTTTATTTTGATGTGTTTACTAACTTACTAGATCACAAGTGAAGTACTTTATTATAATTTTAACTGTAGTGTTATTCGATTTTACATTTAAAGAAATATTTTTAAATATACTAAATTGCAACTTGTATATCTAAATACATGACACACACATTTCAATAGAAATGACGTTAAAGCATATTTTAGTTTACCCTTCGACAGCACAATTTCAACCGGAGTAATTATGAAATTACATAAAGCCCTACTTATATGGGTGAAAAAGCACTCTTACGTTTAACTACTCACATTTAAACTAAATAAATTTGTATTTAATTGTGTATAACATGAAGTGAAATATCTGACAACATTAAATTCAACTTGCACTTGATCATATTATTTCATTGATAAGTAGGCCTACTCCTTTTAAAAATATGCTGAAAGTACTTCTTTTTCACACGGGTGAAAAAACAATAACAATAGTAACAATAAAAATAAATAAAAATCTCCTTCTAACAATACTGTGCTACCCATAACACACGATAAAGCTTTCTCTTCCAAAACAAATTTTGTTCTAACCCACCAACAACCTTGAGAAACGATGGAATACATTGATATTGGTTTCTATTTCTTTAGCTTCACACTGGGTAGCCCCGCCCACACCGAAATCTCATTGGCCTAAAATCTCGAGACGTGCTCACTGCAAAGTCAATGGCTGGAGCTTGAAGTCCAGCTGGACGTAATGGGTGGAGCAAAACAGTCCAACCCAACCCATAACCTTATCATCACTAAACATTACTTCAGCCATTAGGTGCACAGAGGTGGAGCTGGAGGTCAAGCTCCACCCATTACGTCCAGAGGGGAGGAGCTAACATCATTTAGCACTGCAGTGAACACCACTTATCTCCGTATTGCTGATTAAGGGGCCGTTTACACAACATCATGTTCAACTACAAATGGGAAATTTTTTATGCATTTTGAACGTTTATTTACATGACAATGGCGTGTTGGGGGCCTGGAAACGCAAACCTTTGAAAACAGGATTCAGAGTGGAAGTTTTGACAACGATACTGTTCGTTCCTGTTTCTATGCGAATTTGTGAAAACACTGACGTCATGCTCATGCGTTTTACGTTTTCAGTCTACAAAGTAACATCGCCAACTACTGGCCTAGCAGCAGAATACAGCATTTTTAATCTTTTTCGCAGAGTCGTGTGAACGGGATTGTTTTGACAACTTTGTCGCCTGAAAAATGCGAAGGAAAAACTTTTCGGTTTTTAGTACATCGTTGTCGTGTAAACGTACCCTAATTAAAAAATTTTCTGATGGTTTTGATTGTGTTGTATTTTCGCTTTCAAAGTGGATAAGCAAATTATTTGATGTCGCAAATTATAAATATAAATGTGACAAATTATTACTAAAAATTTTTCTCATTCAGTGTTAATTGCATGTTGTAAACATAAACACTTAATTGTGATTAAATAATGTTTGGTTTTGCATATAAATGCATTGTAAGTGTTAAAAGATGGTGTAGATGCTCAATGCTCTGCTATGAAACACTGTACTGCACTTGCAGAAAACTACTGTCAGGTCTAATAAAATCTGACATTTTGACCTGCTTTGTTGAGTAGTGATATTTTGTGGAAATAGATGCATACCCCATGCATACTTCAGTTTTTTTTTTATCGATTCTTTCTTTCAAGCTTTCACAGGTACACATTAGGTGCATTTATAGGGTGGATACGCACCCACTTTCTCATGTACATAAGCTGGATGTCCGAGGCAGGTGCAGGATAATGAAAGATGATGGTTGATGACAGTATACAGTGAAAGCCCAGTGTGTCTGTGTCCTTTATCCTTTAACCTGCCCTAATCTGTTAATACACAAACTGCTGCACCAGCACTCACACACACTGCATCCGATTATAACTAACACCAGGAGGGAAGATGAATGTCCAAACTCCAATTCATGTCAATCCGTTTAGCACACACATATAGTATATAAATGTGTAGTATACAACTCAAATAAATGCATCAAATAATTATTTTTAAGACATTTAAAAAAATCGAATTTTTGAAAATGGTAGCCTGAATAGAGAGATTTAAAACAACAACAAAAATGTGTGTATGCATGAACCCAGGGCCTAAAATGAACACTCGCCAAGCACCAAATGTGAGTAAAAATCAATGTTTGCAAGTATATGAAATGGTCAAGATTGCAAGTTGGCCGGTAACATTTTTTTTTTATAAATTCTAAACGTGCAAATATGTGAGAACATGAAAGTTTAAGCCTGCCAGACCAATTTAAATATTCAAGCGCAAGAAGATGTGAAAGGGAACTCTATGCGTTAGACAAATATCTAAAGCGTGTGCCCAGAAATCTGCATCTCAGACAGCGCATGATTACTAAATTAAGTTTCACGTCTTCTTGCTCTTGAACAGACATATTAAAACCAGGCAAGTATGATTGTTAACATCGGTGCATTAGCTGACAGCAGCCTATATTCCTGCTGCCGTATCTGTTTTTAATCTTAATCAAACAGCAAAATATTAAGGTAATATGGTGAAATACCAGTTTGCAATAGCAAACCTGGCAAGTTGTTTTGTACAGCTAAAAATAACTGGAATCGAACGACACAGGAAGCCGCACAAATGGCCGCGCCCGCACTTACCTGAAAAATAAGGTGACAGCAAGGCGTGTTGGCACACTTTAGGGTAAGTTGTCATAATGGAACAGTTAGAGGAATCATTCAAAACAATGTATTTTATTGTTAATAATATAATTGTTTTGTATTTTTATATTCTGTTCTTCAAATAGCCTAACATATTTAAAGATAGTTTTAAATAGTTTTGAGGCTATTCCGACTACTGTCACGTATCTGAAATTAATGCAATCTAAATGATAACAGCTCAAAACCTCGACCTTCCACATGACTTAGAATGTATACAAATTGAGCTCCAAAAAGGGTGTGCGAGATAAAGTGTCGTTAGTGGGAGAGGCTGTCCTTTAGTACGGGAGTTGGCAAGTTGGATTGCACCAGCTTTTCTCTTTCACCACCTACACAGAAGAACCAACCCACCCAACCCAACCACACATCTCTGAAACCGATTCCAATAGCGGCACTTGCCATTAGAAAGTCAGAATCATTTTAGCGATTCGGTTCATTCAAACAGTTCATTTTAATGAACCAGATTCTTTCGAGTCATAGCACAGAGGGGTTCCTTTTGTGTTTACGTTATGTTTTGTAACGAAATAAATATAAACAAATGCAGCACTTCTCTTCTTATGTTTCCATATGAACAGTCAAGTTCACATTTCGAGTGATTTAAGAGGTGAATTGGTTCAACCAAATCAATAAAAAGAACCGGTTCATAACAACAATTGGTTCGCGAATCAGACAGCCGCACTACTTCGGCTTCCGTAGCTGAAATGGTCCTTACTACACTTTCTTCCAGGAATTTATCGTTCAATTAATTTCCTTTCCACAACAAACGCACATTTTAACGCGAGTGAGACATAACTACACCCGAAAGGAAGGTGCAAAGGACTTAAATACGTTTGTTCAGAATTAGGCAATCCGCTGTTAAGGACATTTTTAACGTTATCTGTCATCGTTGATAGTTAGCACGTACGCTACCAGAGTATAACTCGTTAGCGGAGCAAATATCGCTTTATTTGATTGGGTTGAACCTAAAACAGCCATAACGAGATCAGCTGAAATGTAAACAATTAAATGTAATCTTCACTGCGGTTGCAGACGACCTCACGACAGTTGTGTCGAAGTTGGAAATACGGAAATAACAGCCATTTATGGCCCACATAATAATCAATGAACTGCATTTCAAGTGTTGAATATAATATTACCGTGTGTCGTCGCCTTGTTTTGAAAGAGATTGAATTATATCGCTGTGCTCGCGCGCCTATCAAACGTGGAGATTAATATTTAGGTCGTGCATGAAGATTAGTGGTCACAGCAGGATGTCAAATGGATTTGTGAGCTGAGATAATAACAAAAACAAAAACATGTCATTCACCCTGTCATAAATTGCAACGTTTCGCTTTATAACAGAAACCAGTTGACTTTTGCTGTATATAAATTAGATGTTTGTGCATTGGAAGAGCGGGCTGTCAAAATCACTTTACTGATCAAATACTGTACAAGTCACAGCCATCATGTCAGGAGACAGTAGTGGCAGTGGTGAAGACTCCGACCGGGAAACCAGCCGTAAAGTTTGCACCGTTAAACTCGAGATTACCAATGGTAGGTGACTGCATTCATTTAACCTGGTGTGTTTTGATTTCTTTACAAAAAGTGGAGGTAGCATGCTGATGCCAATACCACTACTTTGATGTGTACTATGGTATTTAAAGGGACAGTTCACCCATAAACGAAAATCCTGTCAGTAATTACTCACCCTCATTTCGCTCCAAACCCGTAAGACTTTCGTTCATATTCGGAACACAAATAAAAATCTTTTTGATGAAATCTGAGAGCTTTCTGTCCGTCCATTGACAGATACGCAACTACTTTGGCGCTTCAAAAAGGATAACGAGATTGTAAAACGAATCCATATGTATTGAGCGCTTTAGTCCATATTTTCTGAAGAGACTCACTTTATATGATGAACAGATTGAATTTAGGCTTCCCCCCCCCACATTTATCAACTCAGTTGTGGTAAACGTAAGCTCAAGCATGTTTATGCTTCTCGTCATATTTTAACGTGAATATGTAATCTGTTCATCATATAAAGCGGTCTTGAGTAAATGTGTACCAAACCGCTCAATTCATATGGATTAGTTTTACTTTTTGAAGCGTCAAAGTGGTAGTTGCGTCACGGTCAATGGAGGGACAGAAACTCTCAGATTTCAGAAGATCTTCAGATCAAAAAAGCAGTGTTGTAGTCGAGACCAGCTCACTCGAGACCGAGACCAAAGAGAGTCGAGTCCGTGTCGAGATAAGGTTGGGTCTCAAACCAGACTTAAAGATATCTTCAAGAATATGTAAAATATATTTGGTGGTATTGGCACCATACTCAAACAGTAAACCAAATATACCATGGAATCATGTACATTGTAACCACAAGGCCACATAGTGGTGTAAAGGTAATTTTATTACAATTATGACTTACAATTATTATAATCAGTAAGTGCTCTTTCACATAACATTACTGCACACGATTTCTGTGTGGCTCTTATACTGAATTATGGATAATAAGGCAGACATTGTCAATACATAGTTGAGCTAGAGGCTCCACATCACATCTGACCTGGGTCCTGCTGCATTTCCGTGCTGAACAAGAAAGTCAGCAATCATTGGACGTTTCAATCAAACAACAATTTAAAGAAATATTAACATACATTAATAATCATGACATATTTTGAATGGGACTCGAGTGGACTCGGGAATAAGTCCGAGTCAAAATGTACACGAGTCCATGACGAGACCATTAAAATATGGTCTCTAAACCGAGTCTCGAGTACACAACACTGCCAAAAAGTTCTTCATTTGCGTTCCGAAGAGGAACAAAAGTTAGTGAGTAATTAATGACAGAATTTTAAAGAGATTTCAGTCATTTAGGTTATCAGCCATATGTAAATTGTTCTGACTGATGTCTGCATCCAATGTATAACATACTTATTCAAATATGTAGGCTATGTGGGGGGATAGGTAAGATTTGTAAATACACTGTTTGTCCATTCCCAGCAAACCTCACAGGATACACTGAGAAAGTTGGCATGGAGAACTTCGAACTTCTCAAAGTGCTTGGCACCGGAGGTGAGAGCGCTGCACTGTCCCGTCCCATCCCGTAACTGGTCTGTCTATCCCGTATAGGTCATTGGGAATGTTTATACTCAGACAAAGTGCTCACATGCATGATGGCCATTAGGTTGTAATTATGGAGTATATCTAACACATTTTATACATAAATTAGCAGCAAAATATGTGTCAATATTCACTTTTTATATCTCCAACATTTATTTTTTCACTGCAGATGAGCCAAACACTTTTTTTTCCAGTCGTTCAGTGTAATAATCAACTAGAGACTCCAGACATGTAATTAGACCTAGCATACGCCCGAACACATTGTGAATCTTTAATGATGGTTTATCAACAACACATGAGTTACAGGAAGAATTTAAGTAATTTTTCTATAATTAATTTTCCTGTCACAGTCTAATTGGCAGATGCAGTGACTCTTAGGGGCATTTCTAACGTTGTTTGTTTGGTTTTGTTTAATACACATTGGGTGAGCTATGCCTTTAAATATGCCTTCCTTCTCTTTATCAGCTTACGGGAAAGTATTCCTGGTCAGAAAAATCAGTGGCCATGATAAAGACAAACTCTACGCCATGAAGGTTTGTATTGTCTATTATCACACATGAATTTTTGCTTGTCCTTCAATTAGTAAAAACGGTAACACTTTACAATAAGGTTCATTAGTTAACATTAGTAAATGTATTAACTAACATGAACTAACCATGAGCAATACATTTATCACAGTATTTTTTAATCTTCGTTGATGTTAGTTAATAAAAATAAAGCTGTTCATTGTTTGTTCATGTTATATCACTGCGCATTAACTAATGTTAACAAGATTTTAATAAAGTATTAGTAAA